TTTTTTATTGGTCTTATGAAGTATTCTAATTTGTTGAGATAGTGAATTGGTGGGTTTTTGTTAAATGTGAGCCAAAATCATCACAATTAAAAGAACCAAAGACTTAAACTACTTCAGTCTGTGTGCACTGAATTTATTTAATACACAAGTTTCACAATTTGAGTTGAATTACTAAAATAAATGAACTTTTCCACGACATACTAATTTGTTGAGATGCACCTGTATATTGCTGCTGATACACAGATCTAAAATAAACATGCAATTTATTTCCCAGCTGTTTACCTTCACAGATATAACCGACTGTTTTTGTAAACTTGTGTGTGAGTGAGAACTTAGTTTAGTACTCACATGCTGTGACAGCTGCTTTCTGTACATGTGCTTCGGATGTGTGCTCTCAGAAAAACGTATATCAGAAGTTTAAACTCATATGGTTTAAAAAGCATGATTTCAGCGCAATAAATATGATAATCAGAACCAAAACAGATGTTTTTTAGCAGGTACGAGCTGTAATGGCACAGCTCTAATCTGGAAAAGGGGGCGGGGAGCAGCAGCTCATTTGCATTTAAAGAGACAGGCCCGAAAAACAGTGTGTTTCTGCTTTCACTCAAAATAGGCATTTTCAAAATGATATAATAAATGATCTGTGGAGTATTTTAAGCTGAAATTTCACAGACACATTCTGGGGACACCAGAGACTTATATTACATATTGTAAAAAGGGGCATAATATGTCTCCTTTAAATACGTGACGATTCCGTATTATACAGAATGGTTGGCAACCCTATTTAAAGTGCAAAAGAGGATTGTCTCGGGTGCCCCCTAGTGTTCTGGGCCCTAGACTGCAGCCCATGTTGCCCATTAGGATAACGCGGCCCTGCTTGAAGTATACAGGCACATATGCTTGAAGTCTGAAATGTACATAAATATTTAAATAATTAATCAACACATTCGCATATTCACAGTTGTCGATATGTTCATTGACATGTCGGTTAATGACCATGTGACCACCTTTTTTAGTAAGCGTTACATTTTGAATTAGTGCTGGGCGGTATACCGGTTCATACCGAATACCGGTGTTTATTTTTGTTATGATATGAATTTTTAAAATACCACAATACCGGTGTATGTCGCTTAAACAACGTTCGGAACGCGACACTGTTTGAAAGGGGTCCCTTTTCACTGTTGCACTGTGGTGAGGGAACAGCTGTATGTGTTACTAAACGTGAAAGTTCCTAAACTGAAGCTGTAGAACTAATAGAACGTGATGACACAGAAGAACTCATCCACAATATCCACATTGACCGCCACAAATATCCACCGCCCCCTGCCATCAGCTCACACACACACAAGCGCGACTTTAGCACTAGATTTAGCAACTTTTAGACCCTTTTAGCTGCTTTTTTCCATAGAATATTCATACTGACAAACCTAGCGACTTTTTTGGATAAACATTAGCTATGGTTTAGTTGGAAGATTTCACCAGTGCTGTCCCACAAACGCGAGGTCTGACTTTCCCGGAGAAGTGTCGCCTCTCTCGGCGTGTGTTCTGTGCAGTGAGCGGCAGAGAAGCACCGCAGCCGACTCCTCAATAAATGAGTACAAAACAGCGTTTCCTAGCACCTGTCGCTTACTGATTGTTTGGAATTGTAAATATGAGCGTAGTTAGTCTCTTAATATCACATGCACTTTTTTGTTTGTTGTTTTTTTTAGTTTGTTACTCAGACGCAGGCAGTGCGCTGCATGAGACAAAAAAGTCATATAGCCAAAACAACCGCATAGCCGCTCTTTATTGTAGATGCATGTTGATTTTATCAGACGATGTAGCGATTATAAATGAGAGTGACTCCTGGATAACATTAAAGGGGTCGTGTTTAGTCACTATTTAGTGTGGTATTTTTTGACAATATTCACTCATCATGACAGTAAAATAGGGCACAAGTCAATATACTGCAGTATTTCCTCCCTCAATCAGTAGAAAATATGGTTAACACCCAGTCATGCATGAAAAAAAAATACCGTCATGTACCGTGAAACCGGTATAATTTTGAAAAATACCGTGATATACATTTTTGGTCATACCATCCAGCACTATTTTGAATGATAAAGGCCTTTTCAGATCCATGTTTCCTGTGCATTAATTAAATATGTGTGTGTGTGTGTGTGTGTGCGTGTGTGTGTTACAGCAGCACACTGGTCAAGAGGTGAAGTGGGTGGATGGTGGGAGGCCGCTCCTCAAAGTCTCCACACAGCTGGTGTCCACTGTATACACACAGGTGTGAAGTGTCCACCTGCACATCTCAGATCAGAATTTTTACATAGTAATCAGATACAAAATGTGATATGGAGCATTAATGCTTATTATTTAACTGTTCTTTCTCATCAGGATCAACATCTGCATAACTTCTTTCATCACTGCCAGAGTATTGAATCCACAGGCCAGTCAGGAGGAGAACTGATCAAATACCTGAAGGTACTTGCTGTTTGTCCTTCCTGAGGATGTTTGAGGCCTGGAGGTGTTTGTTCAGTTCGTTTCTCACCCATCTCATCCTGAGATCACAGATCTGTCTCTCTCATCCTCTATAGAGTCTGCATGCCATGGAGGCTCATGTGATGGTGAAGTTCCTCCCCACCATACTGAACCAGCTGTTTCGTGTGCTCACCATCTCCGGTCAGGATGATGTTGCTGTGAACGTCACCAGGTCTGTTCTGAGCAGCTTTCACCTCCTGTAGTGTGTCTATAAAGGCCCGTTCACACCAAGCACGATAACTATAAAGATAACGATAAAGATATAGTTCTAAAAATCGTTCTCAATATTAAAGAATAGCAGAGTCCACACCACAGCTATAACGATAAAGGCACAGAGAAACGATATCGTTGGAATCATTTTCAGAACAATTTTTTCCAACCGATGAACGATACAAACATTGACAGCCAATCAGAATCAATCCTGCTATAATGAGCTCGAGAATTTAAAGCGGCAGACGCACGTGCACTTATAATAAACAGACGATATCGTTCGCTGGTGTGGATGCTAATATCATTATCCTTATAGTTATCGTTCTTGGTGTGAACGGGGCTTTACAGTGTTATTTTAGTATGGTTAATATACTATTATATTTTTTAGTAATACTTTGTATTAATTTTTCTTTTAATATTTTCAATTTTCATAGTTTTATTTTTAGTAATTTTATGTGCTTTCCTGATTTTGTTTTGTATAATATGTTTATAATATGTATTATATGTTTTTTTAAATATAAATTTAGGTTTAATAAATTTTTATTTCAGTTTTAATTTTATTGTTTTTAATTTATTTACAGTTAGTAATTTTATTGTTACACCTTAAACATATTTAGTTTATTTGCCAATACAACATCTCTAATTTTCATTTAGTTTAGGTTTTTCCATCTAATATTTTTATTTTGTCTAACATTTAGTCTCTTCTCTCGTCAGGGTGATGATTCATGTCGTGGCTCAGTGTCATGAGGAGGGTCTGGAGCATCATCTGCGTTCTTATGTAAAGGTGAGCTGCATCATGATTCGTCACACCTTTGCCTTTGTGATGTAAAACAAGTCATTTTGATTATAACCCTGTGTAATCAACATTCTTGTTTTCTTGTGTTTTTGAGTAGTACGTTTTGAAGGCTGAGACTAACTTAACCAATGGTAAAACTGTCCATGAGGACCTGGCAAAAGCCATGACCACCATCCTGAAACCCTCGACGGACTTCCTCACCAGCAACAAACTGCTGAAGGTACAACCAGCGAATCAGATTCAACATCCCTCACAATAAAGAAGTAGACTTCAAGTTTGTTTTATGAACTAAACTTAAGTTCAAGTATATTTTTTAGGTTTACATTATGTAGTAAGTATACTAAAATCAGTGTACTAGTAGTATACTTATAAGTGTACTATTTCAAAACTTTCTAGTAGGGGTGCTCCGATTGATCGGCTACTGGTAATTATCGGCCGATAATCACGTTGGGATGGTTGATCGGCGTTCTCTAAAAGGCCGATCTCAAAAAAACTATCTCAAGCTGATGACGCTGCCGTGAGAGGTTTGGCACGACATGCAGCAGCACCGTCTCAGTCTCTGTCAGACGCGGGTGAAATAATTATAATGCTGAAGGTGAGGTACTCACCTTCATATCTCTTAATTAAATAACTTACAAAGTAATTTGAAAACCTTGTGTGAGACGTAATTTCACAAACAGCGTGAGTGATTCACCGTGCGCGCTCTCTCTCTTTCTCTCTCAAAATATGCAAATGGCTTCAAATCACCACACATCGCGTCTGTCTATAAGCGAGCTGCACGCTGCACATTTGACACAGGAATTGTCACTTGCACAGTCGAGGCAGTGTCACATCGTCACTAAAGTTTATACAAGTAAAGTTAAGTTTTTTAATTACTTTTTAATTCTTGCCAGTGTTTAACCATTCAGCGCTCGCGCGCTCTCCTGTAGACCGTGCGCTCATGCACACTTGCAGCGCACACACATAACGCCAGGTTCACATTACTCTGTTTGCAGTGCGTGGTATGTGGTGCGTATTTTTTCCGTGCTCATGTTAACGGATTAAAGAATTCACACTGCACACGGCAGTGCGTTCAGGAGTGGTGCGTCTGCAGCAGTGCAGAGATCGTTTCCGCACCGAGTCTATTTTTGCTGTGATACACGCGCTGAATTAAAGTGACAGCACATTGTTTGCAGTACGTATGAAAAAAAAATTTAGCAATTGCACCATAACTGCATATAATTAAAGTATACTGTCTTTCACAGTCAACACATATGGCTTGTTGGCTAGGTTTAAAGGGAAAGAGCACTTTTAGATAAAGAAGGCAATAATAGATGGCACTCGTGGAGGTAGGAAAACTAAGTTCTTTATGAACCGCAGGATTGCTTGTACTAAAGATGTAAATGCAAAAGGAAAGGCAGTAGAGCTGACTATTTCAGTCAATGGTAAGTTTGTGATAACGTAAGAAAAGTAGTTTAAATGTTTTGCCACTTGCTTGAGCAACTTAACATATAAATCTAGAAGTACATGCAAAAGTAAAAAGCATTGAATAATGTGTTGCTTATATTTATTGTGTTTAAACATGTCTGTGAAAGATTGTATTACTGTACTGTGTAAAAAAAGAATTGCAATGCTGAAAAAGCATTTTCAGTGACAATGTTTGGATTTGAAATCAAAATAATGGATAAATGTTGTGTTTGTGGTAAACAGTCACGGATCAGTAGCGGACTCCTGTGTGAAAGCTGCTTCTCCTCTCACAAGAGACCCCTAAGAGGGGAATTCCCCCTATTTACAAAAATGAAATTCAGGCCCTGAATAAATGTCTAAAAATCCTGATTGGAGTATCACTATAAATAGTTATAAATTATAAAAAGAAGGCTTTAAAAAGATCGGTATTGGTGATCGGTATCGGCAGATACTGCTTTCTGTGATCGGCGATCGGCCTCAAAAATCCTGATCGGAGCAACCCTACTTTCTAGGTATAAATTGGCCCACTTTTTAGTTCAGAAAAGTATACTTTTAAGTGTACTTAAAGTGTATCTAAACCATCTGTTTTTCTTCCTATTGCAACTATACTGTGAATTATACTACAAGTGGTACTCTTTGTTTAATAGCTAAGTACTTCTAGCTGTCTTTTGAGTTTATGAAAGTACACTGTATAGTACAGTTTAATAGGTTTTATATTGAAAATATATCTGCTTTTGCTAAAAAAAAACAAAAAAAAAAACTTTTAATAGGATAAAAGACATACTTTTAATGAATTTTAATTTTGTAAGTTACCTGTATTTTTTTTAGTTATTATTACTTAATCAAAACAACCCAACTGCAGTTTGATTGATATTAATTTGGAATGCACAATTTAAAATTATTTATGAAAATTCATAAAAACTGTTTTTGCAAATGAACTCTTGGTATATTCTCTTTCTCCTCTAGTACTCCTGGTATTTCTTTGAGGTTTTAGTCAAGTCTATGGCTCAGTACCTGATTGAGACAGGCAAGGCCAAGGTGAGGATGGGCAACGTCACCGCATGTTCTTGTTTAATAGCTAAGTACTTCTAGCTGTCTTTTGAGTTTATGAAAGTACACTGTATAATACAGTTTAATAGGTTTTATATTGAAAATATATCTGCTTTTGCTAAAAAAAAAAAAACTTTTAATAGGACAAAAGACATACTTTTAATGAATTTTAATTTTATAAGTTACCTGTATTTTTTTTTAGTTATTATTACTTAATCAAAACAACCCAACTGCAGTTTGATTGATATTACTTTGGAATGCACAATTTAAAATTATTTATGAAAATTCATAAAAACTGTTTTTGCAAATGAACTCTTGGTATATTCTCTTTCTCCTCTAGTACTCCTGGTATTTCTTTGAGGTTTTAGTCAAGTCTATGGCTCAGTACCTGATTGAGACAGGCAAGGCCAAGGTGAGGATGGGCAACGTCACCGCATGTTCTTTTATGGGCAAACACCACTTGTGTTCTCACACTAAAATCTAGTTTATTTCTGAACTTCTTCATATGGTCATGTCTATAATCACAACAAACAAAAACCGGATGTTAGTTTCATGGCAGTTGTAAGATAACCCCGTGATTTAACCCCTGCCGTGTCCTTTAGGTGTCTAGGAACCAGCGTTTCTCAGCTTCATTCTATCACTCTGTGGAGACCTTAGTGACAATGCTGATGCCTCATATAACACAGAAATACAAAGACAACCTGGACGCGACACGAAACGCCAATCACAGCCTTGCTGTCTTCATCAAGGTGAGCCGAGCTGCTGGTCTCTTTTCATGTTGCTGGAAGACATCAAGCATCAAATCTTCCCTATTGAAAAAGAAAATACTAAAATGTATTTGAAATACATTTATTTTGTACTAAGTATACTACAAATACACTTACATATTTATGTGCTTAATTAACATACCCTGCAGTTTTTCTTTTAGTGGTATACTTAAAGTCTGCTAAATTGGAACAACTAGTTTTGTACTTAGTGCACTTTATTTGTGTGGAAGCAGTGCTGAAGTCCAACTAAAGACATACTGAAGTATATTTGATTGTGCTAAAGTGGAACTATTGCAAGTATACTTCAGGTACACTTTAAATATATTTCATTTAAAGACTGATATTATACAGAGATCGTGCAATCCTTATTCATATTGATATTAAAGCACATTTTAGACTTAAAATTAAGAAATGTGCATTGTGCAATAAAGAATAAAAACATCAAGTTTAATTATAATTAAAGTGATATGTCTATAAATATGTAAATTGATTTGAAGTATACTTAGTATAAAATAAATGTATTTTAAATAAATTATGGCATAGTTTTTTTTTTTTTAGTTAAAAAATAAAGTACAATATTCCTTTTGGTTTGATTTTATTTGTACAGTAGTTCAACAAAACTATTTGTGATATATTCCAGCAAAACGTACTTCATCAATAGCAGCTTACTTCTGAATTTGGTTCACATCAACCACAAACCAAATTACACTTCTCACAAAAGCACTGAAGTGTGTTTATGTGAAGCGCTCAACAGTTCAGATTTCACAACCTTATGATAAAATAAACGTGGATCTGCAATAACCCTAAGAGACTGCTTACAATCTCAGAGTAACAAGTTGTACATTTAAGGCAGTTATTTTTCCATTTAAATTTTTTAGAATTTTATGTTCTTTTGTCATTTGTATTAATTTGTTGTTATATATTACTATTTAGCTTCATTTTTTTCTTTAGTTTTGGTTTTAGTCATAAGTAACAACACTGGTTTAAAGCCAAGAAAGAAACATCAGGTGTCTTGAATCAGTCGGTAGACTCAACCATTGTTTGTTTTCACCAGCGCTGTTTTACCTTCATGGACAGAGGGTTTGTCTTCAAGCAGATCAACAACTACGTCAACTGCTTCATGCCCGGAGACACAAAAGTAATATGCTTCTGCTTTTATATCTCCATTTACACCCATATATTAAATTAGGATTTTTCTTTTTTTTTTATATATATATTCCATCTTCTATAATTTGCCATGATGCAGTCTGATGCCTGTCTCTCTGTTTCTTCCTCACTCAGACGCTGTATGAGTTTAAGTTTGAGTTTCTGAAGGTGGTCTGTAATCATGAGCACTACGTTCCTCTCAATCTGCCCATGCCGTTCGGGAAGGGCCGAATCCAGCGCTTTCAAGGTAATCAGTCATTAAAGAGAAGAGCAGAAACACACAATAGTCAAAGACCTTGTTTGAATATTGATTGAATGGGACTGAATCGAAGGCTGATATGACTTTTTAACATAATTAGTGTAGCGAATCAGCTCATGGGGAAATATGAATAATTAATCATAACTAGTTATAATTCATTATAAATATTTAGATCCGCTGTAGATATTTACTTGACCTCTCAGGGTCAACTGTCTGTCAATTCTAAGAACGTTAATTTCCTGGTTAAGGGAAATTACTTTCTTACTGTACAATTCTACACCGAGCTTGTAGCATAAATTTGCATGATTAAGTGACTCCAGTTATGAGCAAACAATGAACAACGTCAAGTGTGATACAAGTAAGACTTTATTAACTACATAAACACTTAAACTAGTCTAACATACTACATAAACGCACACACACACACACACGCATACAGTTGGTATAGGAAAGGGTTAAAGCTTAACTCAGTAAAGAGGAGAGAGAATAAGAATATGAAGTTATGGATCTATTTGCATATTCAGCAGATCTACCGCCTGAAGGAAACATCAGATTCTTAGTTCAAACACACCTTTGTAAAAAGGTGCAAATGATACCTAATGTATCAATTAATAAGACTAAGTTTGAATACTTGCACGTCTCGTCTGTCTGAAAGAAAGGCTTGATGCAGTCCAAAGGTTCAAGTTGATCTTTGCTGAAGTTGGTTGATGAAAAAGAACCAGTTTGAGTCAGAGAATCTTGGTGAATGGAAAAGTCAAGGCCGAAGGCCTGGCACAAAACTTAGGATGTCCTGGAGCGTTGTAGCTCACATCTTCCACTGACAGAACCACTGACTCTGGGCGGGTCACATGGTGTGAGGCCTTTAAGGTCGGAGAAGATCCCCGCCTTTCAAGATGGGCTTGTCCAATGAGAAAGGCCGGAATCCCAAGTGGGAGTTTTGAGATACTGGGGAGTTTTTATGACCCTTTGTGTGAGGGCATGGTAATTTGCAAATGGAACTTGAATCGAAATTACTAAAGATTCTCAGGACACTAATATATTGCCTATGTACCAACATATAATATACACGCTCATTTAGATCATCAGAAGGCGAATTCATAGATTCTAAACATGGTAGGATTACATATAGGCAAGATGACAGGAATGAGTGTTTCCATCATAAGCCTGCATAAAACAGTATAAAATCTCAAAGACAACATCCACGATGACCTGAAGGATATGTGTGTTCATTCAAAGAAAGGTTTTCCTATGGATTCATTAGAAAAGAGTCCATTTCTACTGTGCACTGTGTCTCTTTTTAATTCAAAGGCAGTGATTTTCCCTACTCACATTCCATTAGGTCGTAAATGGCTCTGGTCTAGCAAAGGTGTCGTGGTTGCCATGGTAACCAGTGGCCTGTAGTCATTCGCAGACATTTTGGTGCCCAGTCTATTGGGTGAGGGGTCTGTGACGACTTGTTAATCTAATGAATAACTGATTTGTTAAATCAAATGAAAAATTGTGTTTTTGATTGGTCCAGACGCTACATTAGTATATTTTATTATGGCCTTCAAAATAGCTGTCTTCCTATAATCCAGTGGTTCTCAACCAGGAGCTTTCAGCAAATATCTAAGGGGGCCTCAAGATGACCTAAATGATTTAAAATAAGACAGAAGGAGCATTAAAATAAGCAAAAACGACTACAAATCAAGATTTCTTAATTACATTTTTTTCCAAGGTCTTGAAAACCCTGAATATGTGATATATAATATTAAATTAGACTAGACAGTATATCACATATTGTCTGATTTCTAGACCTGGAAATGTAATGCAAATTATTAAAATCTTATATTGTAAAATCTTATATTTTATGGGACCTTTGAGTCAAAAAGGTAGAGAATCACTGCTCTTTTATAATATATTTATAATAATTAATAAAGTTTCCAAAAAGTAGTCTATACTTTGACTGCATATTCTAAGACTGAAATTTAGTCACATTCAGTTAAAACATTTAAATGCGTCATAGTCATGCAAGTGTGAAAAACAATTTAATTGATTTTTATTTTTTGTGCACATGCTCTAAGTCAGGGGTCTTCAACTAAAATTGCTTGAGGTCCAGTAATGAACCCTCCTCACCAGCTGAGGTCCAATTATATAGAACATGAAAACATGAATTGATGGTTTTTGCCAGACCATGGTATCTGCAGGATATTTAAACTTCAATTTAAGACTTTTAATGACCTGTTTAAGACCTGCACAAATAAAAGTGACTGTAAAAAAGCATGATTTAGAGATACAGGTTTTCTCAAAAAAGTAAAAAAATGATAAACTTGAAAATTGAGTCAAAAGTATTAATAATTATATTAATCTAAACAATTATCATCAATCATTATATTAATTAAATAACATGTAAATATATTTTACTGTCTTAATTGCTTACCTTTTTATAATACATTATCTTCTTGTCGATCCACCAGTTCACATTTACAACTCTGCGTGTTTGCTGCGTAAAAACAAGGGCTGATTTTCGCAGTGGTCTGAACTGTAGCAGGCTGATTGTAAATGCACATTTATTCTCTGCCAGCAGGTGGCGCTTTAGGGACAACAGAAATAAAGCGGTTTCTCCGGAAACTGCAGTACACAAAGCAAAGCAGCAGCGCAATTCTTGTCTTTCTGTCCCCAAATTTAAGACCTCCTGAAATCATAATTAAAACGTTCTTGTACCATTTAAGACTTTTTAAGTGCACGTCAACGTTCCTAATTGTTTTTTACTCACTGAAAGTTTCATCTGTCTGTGCGCCACTCTCTTCTCTCTTCACTGCACTCAAGCCTGCACCCAAACTGCTCTATTGATATAAATTTGATTCTATAAGAAATAAGCGTTTGGCATTTATTTAATTATGTCAAAAGCCTTCACGGATTTGGACCGGAGTCCGCCTGTTGGCGACCCCTGCTCTAAATGATGACATAAATGAAGACTATTCCGATATAATTCCTGTTTCTATAGTTATAATGCCTGTTGTTTCCATTCCTATAGTTCAGGAATGATGTTTTGTATTTTCGGTTCTGAACTCACATCCTTGTCTCTGTATCTCTGTTAGATCTTCAGCTGGACTACTCTTTAACGGATGATTTCTGTAAGAATCACTTTCTGGTGGGGCTGTTGCTAAGGGAGGTGGGCGGAGCTGTGCAGGAGTTCAGAGACATCCGTCAGATCGCTGTACAGGTGCTGAAGAACCTGATGATCAAACATGCCTTTGATGATCGTTACTCCTCCAAGGTGAATGAGCACCGTAGTGTGTCACGAGCACGTGTGCTAAGAACACGGCTTTGAATATATTAACTATAAAGCGTGTGTTTTGTATGTTTTTCAGGGTCAGCAGGCTCGCTTGGCTACGCTTTACCTGCCTCTTTTCAGTCTGCTGCTGGAAAACGTCCACAGGCTCAACATCAAAGATGTGCTGCCTGTCACCAACCAGACTAACATTGTAAGACTGACACCTAGTGTTTTCTTCAGGCTGTGCAGGCATACAGATGCAGGTTTAAAGGGATCGTTTACCGAAAACGACAATTCAGTCATAATTGACTTTCCAAACCTGGTTTAGTTTTTTCTATAGAACGCCAAAGAAGATTTTTTCAAGATTTTTTTGAAAATGTCAGTATTTTTGTCCATACAATGAAAGTCAGTAAGGTTCAGTGTTGCTTAGGACACCTTTGTCTTTCATTTTATGAAAACAGTGACATTCTTCAAAATTTCTTCTTGTGTGTTGCTTCTTGTGTGTGTTACAGTGTCAGAGCATTTCATTTATTGGATGACATTTCTATTTTTATTAGAACTGAGAATTTGCCCTGATTTGACATTTGATTTCATTTTGATTTTAAAGGGTCTCGATTCGTTTAGATTTGGATTTGATTCTTTGTTATTAAGAATACTCCACTGAAATCATTGATGATAACTGATATTAATAAGAAATATTTCTTGAGGAGCAAGTCGGCATGATTTCTGAAGGATCAGGTGACACTGAAGACTGGAGTAATGATGCTAAAAATTCAGCTTCGCATCACAGGAATAAATGACATTTTAAAATATATTAAAATAGAAAACTGTTATTTTAGATATTAATAACATTTTCAATATAGATTTATACTTTTTTTACAGTGTATTTGATCAAATAAATGCAGCCTTGGTGAGCATAAGAGACTTTTTTATTAAATATAAAACAATTTTACAGTCCCCAAACTTCACACATCCATTGAATAAAGGTTAACAATAAATGATACATCTTGAGATGTGTCAATATCATATGTATCAATAATTAAAATCAATATCATATTGCTTGAATTATTTTTATCAGAAAACAATGTAGTTCTCAAAGTAAAAAAGACATGAACATATACTAACATGCTAACAAAATGTATAGTAAAATACAAATTGCAGTACGAGTCACCAGAATAGAGTGGGTTAACAGGTTGCTCTTTAAACCAACTTCTGTTTGTATCGTTTCAGAATGGCCGTGATGATCATGTCATGATGACACCTACAAAAAATATGGCCAGTCCAGTGGACAGCAGCCTGCATAAAGAGGTGTTTGGAGTGATTTCAGGAACAGGTGAGGCACAGCGTCCTAACCAGCCACTGTCTTGACAGTTTTACAGAAACGAGCTCTTCGTTTGTCCCCATTGAATGCCTTTTGACTATTATTTCCTATGTCAGGCCTTACAGGGTTAAAATAATTCTGTTCAGATTATTGTTCTATGAGAAATATCATTTGAGAGTGATTGTGTCCAGTGTATTGATGTGTTTTGTGTTTGTCAGCCTCTCCTCACACTCCGACCGTGAGCTCTGTACGGCACAATGACTCACGCAGCTCTCTTATCGGCACGGACTCTGGAAGCGGCCTATCAGAGCGCAGCATTGACAAGCCACACCCCCTAGACAAGGTACTGCTCACATGACCTGATTGTCATTTTTGTGTACATTATTTATGATGGACTGTTATCATGTTTTATGTTAGCCGCAATTTGTGTGCGTGTGTAGGGTTGTATGTTTATCCCAGTAGTGTGTGTGTGGGTGTGCTAACCTGTGGTTGTGTGTCTCCTGCTGTCGCTGCGTTCAGCGGAAGAGTTTCACTCGCCGTCACTCTGCCAGCGTGCTGCGTTTCTTTACTGACTCAGAGGAGTCGCCGCTCTCTGCACGTCTCAAACTCCAGACCATGGACTTCTCTCTGCTGTCTGCACCGTCTGAGCAACACACACACCCTACACAAGTATTACATCAGCGCTGACCTCTGACCCCCGCCCTGCAGCCCTGCTATTACCACTCACCTCTGACCTCTTACCCTACACGGTCCCAGTCTGGTGTTCCTGTGTGTGCATGTGGCTTTACTGATCCTCTGTTCCCTTAGCTAGAAGATAATGATTGACTTTCTTAAAGGGGTCATATTGCATTTTGTTTTCCCTGAGGGTCACTTGTACATGGGATAGTCCACCCCAAAATCATAATTTACTCACCCTCGAGTAGTTCCAAGCTTGTATGAGTTTCATTCTTCTGTTGAACATAAAAGAAGATATTTTGAAGGATGTTTTTAATCAAGCAGTTGTCGGTAGCCATTGACTTCCATAGTATGAAAGTCAATGGCTACCGCCAACTGTTTGTTTACCAACATTCTTCAACATATCTTCTTTTGTGTTCAACAGAAGGCAGGCTGTTTATTTGCAGCTGTACCTTGAAGACTTTGATATGTAAATGATCTTTCATTTTTTGTGAATGTATTAAAAATTATTTTAACATTAGTTTTACATCCCTGTTTTATAACATTATTATTTTTCACTCACACCTAGCTTTAAAACTCCTGCTCAAATGGACATAGCTGCCCTCAGAATACTAAGACAGTCTGCTGCATTGTTTTTTTTCATACATGCACTTCTGGACAGGAACAATAACACTTGTAATGAATTATGGGTTTATTACAGAAACATGAGTCATCAGTGATCAGTTTATATTCAAATTCAGATCATTCAGCTTCAGTTCTGTGAGTTTATTATGTCATTGAAAATTAATGTAGTTTGTGAAATTACTTCTATTTTTTACAACGTTATGACATAATTTCAAGGAAATGTATGTTATTTGTTATATTCCATATGTGTTTGATTATTAAATCAGGTTTATAACAGGTGTTAACAGTGATTAAGGACGGGGTTGGGTGGAGTTGCTATAAACCAATTAAGCTTATTTGCTTAGAGAGAATAACGACTCTGTCCACATCCTGTCAATCACTGTGTCACACCCCCCACCACGCAACACACTACACCACATCCGCCATTTGGGGCGCTATAGGGCCCCCTGCACCTGCCCACCACAGCCCTGCAGGGGGCCCCAGAGTCATTCAGAACCTCAGCGACTCAAGATCAAAGATTGTTTCTTCAGTAGAACACAAATGGAGATTTTTTTTTAACTCAAACCGTTGCAACAAAACGGCAATGTCCGAACTGTCCTGAGCGTGTCCTGAGCGCGTTCTCAACAGCCGGCGCGTAAAAGCACGAAGAAGAAGAAGACGCGCCACCCGCTGGCTGTCGAGGACGCGCTCAGGACAGTTCGGACATTGCAGTGAATCAAAGGTAAAGAAAACGATATAAATACTGTTCAGTTTCTCGCACAGACTGATCGTTTCGTGTCTTTACACATCAATGTATCGTCACGAGCCGCAGGGTTTAATTTGGTTTTGTTTGTGTATGTTTTTTTTTACTCTCAATGCCGTGATTCCCATTCACTTCCATTATAAGACTGACAGGCTGCAACGGTTTGAGTTAAAAAATCTTTGTTTGTGTTCTACTGAAGAAATAAAGTCACCTACATCTTGGATGCCCTGAGGGTTAGCAGATAAACATCACATTTTCATTTTTGGGTGAACTATCCCTTTAAAAAGACTAAAGCTGAGAAACGTTAGATCATTCACAATTTTTTCATTCTACTCACAGTCGTAGTGTTAAAGAAATAAATGGATATATAATTGCATGTGGAAAAACTTACATTTCCATAGAAAAATGTAGAGTTCCATATATACAGAATGTACTTTTTCCCCCTGCATTTTAATTGCAGTCACACCAGAACACATTCTGTTATCCTGTCGTTATCTAAGTCAGCCAGGTGCATTATTTGTACATTATTTAGATATGGATGTTGAATAAAATAGCTTTACGGTGACTAAATATTTAGATTATTTTTTGGACTTTTGGACTGGAGTTTTGCAAGTTTGACTCTGTTTAAGTAACATATCTAACTCTGTGTCATGATATAGCTTCTTTAAGATATCTTCCAGTGGAGAGCAGACATTTCTGTCAGCAGTCTGTATTTTGTAGACGTAACGGGGCAGATCTTGTGCCTAAATCCACAGCTGATGCTTCCAGTCACAGGAGAGTCAGTAAATCTGTTGACTGCAGGAATGCTATGGCGCACTGAATGATCTCTCTTTGATATGGTTTCCTTTTGTTGCATTTCAATTAGTACAAAAACAGTCCTTCAGTCTCCATCTGTGTAGCCATGTAATAAAGTTAAGTGAATAATCAGACGCAGTATTTTGTGGGTTTCATAGTTTCCACACCCTGCTGTCTCAGTGAGAATCTGCTGGCAGGGGAACATGGGAAATATTCTGGCCAGTGCTGTGCTATGGTAGATACATTAGCATGTTAGTGTAGGCCAGCGTGTGTGTGTGTGTGTGTGTGTGTGTTTGTGTAGAGCTGCGCCCCTCCCTGTCTAGTCTGTGACATCCTTTAGGGAAAGAGCTGTGAATGGCCATTTTGAGTGTGTGCAGTGCATTACTGCTACTATATCATTGTCCTTTTTTGTTTGTACAAACATGGCATTTATCAAAGTGTGCATGTGATTTGAGGTGGATGTGTGTGTTATTAAATGTGCATGTGTGAGTGAGTGCTTATAATTGCCTGAGTGTGTATTTACAGTTGCCCCAAAAAGTATTTGGACACTTAAGCAACACTTCAGTAGATCAAACCAAATATAATTTAATTTAAAGTGATAGCGCAAAAAAGCTAAAAATAAAAATATTTTTTTAAAAATCGGTTAATTAAAATATAACTGAAATATTGTATACTACATGAAAGTTAAACTTGAAAATGAAATCATTTAATGAAAAGAAAATGAAATTTACTTTAAAGTTACTATAACTGAAAAAAGTAAACCTAAATACAAAAACAACTAAAACATTTAAAAATCACATAACAAACTTACTAAAGTGAAAATTAAAACTGAAAATATAAAACTAAAAGCTAATTCAAAATATTAGAAAATGTAAATAGTACAAAAATAATACCGGATAACACTGGTATTGTTATATTATTTTAATATATTGCAAAGATCTCCAGACAAGTGTGACTTAAGTTTCCAGAAGTGTCAATGGTTTTGTGGTCTGTGAATGTCTGATCTTGTTTTCTCTGTCTCAGTGTCATGTCGCTGGGGTTCTGGGCAGCTCTTTGCTCCGCTGTGATAAACTGGACCAATCTGAAGTGAAGAACATATTAATGTGCTTTCTGCACGTGTTAAAGAGCATGTCTGAAGGTACACACACACAACTGAGATTATATTAGCCTGCTTCATTGTAGTTGTCTGTTGTTTGACCGATGCATTTTCTGCGTGTTAGATGCTCTGTTCAACTACTGGAATAAAGCTTCACCCACAGACCTGATGAACTTCTTCAGTCTGCTAGAGTAAGTGCTGCACTTCACACCTGCTCCTCCACAACACACACACACACACACACACACACACTCCTGGCTCATCATTCATTTCTCATCTGATTTCAGAGTGTGTCTTCATCAGTTCAGATACATGGGAAAGAGACACATTACAAGGTAATGTCTTTATTTCTTTATATATTTTTTTACGAACACATTTATTAATTTTGCACATACAGTGGGGAAAAAAAGTATTTAGTCAGCCACCAATTCACACACTCCTGGCTCATCATTCATTTCTCATCTGATTTCAGAGTGTGTCTTCATCAGTTCAGATACATGGGAAAGAGACACATTACAAGGTAATGTCTTTATTTCTTTATATATTTTTTTACGAACACATTTATTAATTTTGCACATACAGTGGGGAAAAAAAGTATTTAGTCAGCCACCAATTGTGCAAGTTCTCCCACTTAAAAAGATGAGAGAGGCCTGTAATTTTCATCATAGGTATACCTCAACTATGAGAGACAAAATGAGAAAAAAAATCCAGAAAATCACATTGTAGGATTTTTAAAGAATTTATTTGCAAATTATGGTGGAAAATAAGTATTTGGTCAATAACAAAATTTAATCTCAATACTTTGTTATATACCCTTTGGTGGCAATGACAGAGGTCAAACGTTTTCTGTAAGTCTTCACAAGGTTGTCACACGCTGTTGCTGGTATTTTGGCCCATTCCTCCATGCAGATCTCATATAGAGCAGTAATGTTTTGGGGATGTCGCTGGGCAACACCCTTTGCAGACCAAAGCATGATGTTTCCACCCCCATGCGTCACAGTAGGTATGGTGTTCTTTGGATGCAACTCAGCATTCCAGCATTCT